GGCATCATGATGATACTTGTTGATGAGTGCTTCCTTTGAAAGGTTGAATAAAAATCCAACGCCATCATCTCTGATCTCTCAGTTTGCACAAAACAAAGAAAGAAAAATGTGAGACTTTGGAGGGAGGGAGGGAGGGAGAGAGAGAGAGAGAGAGAGAGAGAGAGAGAGAGAGAGATATTGATATAATTAAGCCTCGAAAAGAGAGAGAAATGAAATAAATTATTAGGAAACGAAACCCATGGAGTGGAAGCTTTTTTTTTTCTTGGTTGTTTCTCTCTCTCTCTCTCTCTTTTTCAAGAGGGCTAGAGGAAATGTGTCAACTTCATTTTTCCATGGAAAAATAAAGAATCAGGGAGAGTACTATAAAGCTACCTCTCTCTCTCTCCTTATTGTGAGAAGACAACTTATTAAAGGAGTTTTTTTTTTTTTTTTGCGGTGGATTCGAATGCATAACTTTTTTTCATAAGATATATGTTTTAACCTTTTAATTAATTAAGTTAGACTTGTTAGGTGTTTGGATAAATTATTTGAAGAATTGAACAATATAGTGACTAATGAGTAGTTTTACAATGTTGAAATGTGCATATATGTGTTTAAATACATTGTTGAATGTATTGGAAAAAAAATTATAGTATAAAGCTAACTATTCTTACCTCTTACCAAACTAATTACACATGAAATTATTTGGACTAGAATGATGTGGCTGACTATGTTGGTTGGAGAGGTATGAGAGAGAAATTAAATTTTGTTTTGAGAAAATTACAATCAGGTTATAAATAACCCTATTAAGTAATTTTTCTCATCTTATTGATTTACAAAATACATGACTAACTACCAATTAACTCATGAATTAGGATTGAGACATATATTCATCTCAACCAAAAGCAGTCGTGAGTTTGAAATTCCCACTTTCATAGGTTATTTGTACTAAAAAAAATAGTAATACACTTGTAACATTTTTTTTATGTTAAAAAATTAATTAATTCGCTCATGACTTCTTTTAATTAAAAAATGAAGACAGAATTTGGTATGATAGAGCAAGAAGAGAAAGAATAATGGAGATGGAGCATCTGGTGTTCCCTCTTATATATATGGGGAATTACAACTGCATCGAATAATTTTTTCCGTCGAATACTTCCAATGCTCATGTTATTTGAAAGAGCTTTCAACGTCGGGCGGAGACTTCATAACGTACACAAAGGGTAATTGTCCTACTATTCCGGAAAATCGCTCTCTCGAGGGTTAAAAGAGAGAGAAAAACCACGCTGCATTTTTTCTAGATTTTGAAACTTATTGTTTCAAAGGTGTTGCCTCTTGTTCGTCGAGTAATAGTAAGCGGGCTAGTCTTCGAAAAAGCCTTTGGTGTAGTTTGCAAAATTAAAAATTTAACTAGGTTTGATAAGAATTTTTTCTTTTAATTTTGAAAACAAAATCGTTATAAAATGAGAATGGTGGTGCCTCTTGCATATGGAATGGCAGCTCAGCTCTGCAATGAGAATATACATAATCGTTGGGATTCACCAAAGCTTCAATTTTTTCTCTTTTCTTTTCTTCACTTCCCCCATTTAAAAAAGAAGCTTGGGAAGAACAATATTAATTATTTTAAATTTAAATGATTCAATTAGTTCATTGGGTGTCATGCTGTTTGTTTTTTAATTGATGGTAGTAAAAGGCTGTTTGTGACTGTATCTTGAGTAGATAAAATCTCCTTATTGAGAGCTTTATTGGGTTTTGCTAAAGAAGGGAATATTTTTGCAGTCATTTCTTTTAAAACTCACTAAACAATATACCACACAGAAATCATAGACCCATCTTCAAAAAACTCCAACAATACAAACCACACTCACACTTTTAAGCTCTTTTTTCCCCTTCTTTTAATCACAAATGTTTAGATAAGTGCTTTTTAAAGTATCCACTATATTTTATTTTCTAAGATTTAGTGGCCTACAAAGGATATTATTCAAAAAAGAAACATTATTAATATCATGATCAATTGAGTTGAATTGTGTTGTTATAATGTTAAAACTGAATTTGAATGTGTAATAAAATAATTTATATATATATATACTTTTTTTTTAAGAGAGAAACCATTTCAATCGAGAGAGATGCGTGAGAACGTATATACAAACAAAAAGAAAGCTAGAAGAAATCTTTTCAATTAAGCGAAATGGTCGAGATGTCGTAATTACAAAAAGGCTGTGATTTAGACGATCAAGAGGTAGCAGCTGTTTTGATGTCGGTCCTTTGGAGGTATGCATACTATACCCACACTCGTACATACACAAAGGGTCATTTGAGTTCCCAAAATCTCAAGGATATTCCTTGACTCTTCAAGCAACCTAAGCTATTCTTTGGGGACTGGTCCCTATGAGTTTAAAACTATAAATTTGATCTTTATGATTTGAAACTTAATTTCAATTGGGTCCCGATGAATTTGAGTTTAGTTTCAATTTATTTCCTATGATTTCCAAAGTTTTAATTTGATCCTATGATCATTTAGTCAAACTTCAACAATTATCTCTATGATTACCGTATTGAATTTTTTTTTAAGTGACACTTTTCTATTTCGGTAACTATGCTAGTCAACTCTCTTGGACTTTAGTGCTAAATGAAAACTAAAAGAAAAAAAGTGAAGTTTTTTAATGGGTAAAACAATAGTTATAGATGAACCGTGAGCTTCAACCTAATCATAAAGATAAAATTAGAACTAAGTCAAAATCACGAAAACTAAATTGAAACATTTAAAACTTATAAGGATGAAACTGAAAATTTACTCCAATTATAGAGACTAAGTTTATAATTTAACCAAAAGATAAGAAAAGAAAAACAATAAAAGAAAAGAAAGGGTACATAAAAAAGTGAAAATTTGTAGAAAGTGGTTGAATGTGCTGGTTTGTCCCTGTGGAAGTGGTAGTTTCGAGGGGTTTGGGGAGGAATAAACAGACTGTGAAGTACTGAAAAATTGCCTGAACTGAAAATGGGCAGCCAGCAGCAGCAGTTTTTTTCTATCCAAAGTCATTGATCAATTTGAGAATAATGATTCGGTCTTCATGGGGACAATCAATTAGATTCCCATATAAAATCTACACTTTCTCTTCCACGTGTCATTTCCAAAATCACCCTTCAATCTACCCTATACATACTCCATTATTCTTACCCAAACAACCTAAACAAAACCATCCTTGAACTACGAATAAAAGCGTTTAATAATTGTAGGTCCAAATTTTCAATTCGATATATCACTATAAGAGATGCATGGGAAAAATAGAGAAAATACGCAGATAGATAAAATATGTGCGTAGAAATGATTTGATATGAAAGTTTAGTACAACGATAGGTTAGTAAGAGAAAATATGTATACAAACAACAAATAAGTGAGTGTTAATAGTAAAATGTTTGAGTTTACGAGTGAAAATAACTTCTTTGACAAGTACTTTTGAGAGACAGTAAAGTGACATGCATCTTCTCCTATAGCAATTTAAGGTAATGGGTTCTTAAAATTTTTCAAAACTACTGTAAGTTATTTTAACGTACGGTATCAAAAATTTAAAATTTTTCCCATCCGTACCAAGGAAAAAAGAAAATATGTTACCCGACATTAAAGAGGAGTTTTTAAGTCAAAGTAATATAATAAAGCACATTTAACATATTTGCTTTATTTGAGGAAGCAAAATTCATTTAAATGTGTTTTCGTTATTATTATTTCGTTTTAGGAAGAAAAAACTCAACCCAAATAGTGTTTTTTTTTTTTTTTTCAGAAATCAAATACATGTAAAAGCACCCTTTTCCCGGTGAAATGAAAAACAATAGAACCTCGAGTAATTCTTCAAAATCAAAGATAACCTTGGCACAAATTTCGAACTTAAAAGCAAAAGAAAATGAAGACAAGATTGTACATAATGTAATGCCCATATTATTCCAATTTAATCACCCCCTAAGAACCCTAATTAATGTATTCATTTCCATGGTTGACCTTTGATAAAAAGTCACATCGATCCCACCCCTCCAAACAAACCCCACGAACCAACCCCTTTTTCATTCACTTTCTAGCCTAAGAGAATGGCAAAAATAAAATAAAATAACAATATATATTTTTTTAATTTATTTTTTACTATTATTATTTTTTGTAAAGAAGAAAACAAAGAGCAAACCCAAAGAAGATCGAAACGAATAAAATCCAGATCGCCCCCACAAAAGCTTGTTTTTTAATGCATCACAAATTTTGCAAGCCGAGCCGAGCCGAGCCGAAAGTGAATATGGTGGGCCCTGTTTGGCCCATATTTTCTTATGATTCCTCGCCTTAATGCTGCTGTCTGTAGGTGGCGAGGCCCCCACGACTATACAACATTATAAAATGTCTTTTCTTTTTCTTTTTTTCTTTTTTTTTTGTTGGTCTATAAAATAATAATAATAATAATAATTAATAAGAATAGTAAGGTTGAGTTTGTCTGTGGCGGAATGACCTGTTTGGATCCAAAAGTTGGGTTGGTCATCATTACTTGGTAGAAAGTGTGACTTCTGCACTGTCCTTTGTGCCACTATATATGATTCCCATTTTTAACAACTTCTTTTTCTTTCCCCTCTTCTACCTTTTTTTTTCTGTTCAAATATTCTATTATTTTCATCTATCATTCACTATTAATATTGGAACATCGTATCGTCATGAATTAGTAAATTTATTTTAAGTTTTCAAATGGGTAAGAAATCGTCTACCGGCAACATGGAAAAAAAATGATCCAAGGACAGATTGTGATGTTTGAACTTTGAACTACAAATTTTAAAATCAAAAGGTTAAATTGGTGATTTGACATAGTTTAAGTAAAATAGTTAAATATTAAAATATGTTAAAGGAATTGGGGAAATTTTGGGCTGGGTTATGTGGGATTGGGCCCAGGTTGGTGCTTTTGGGCTGTTGGTGGATCAAGTTGTTGGGCCGAGTCGGAAGAGTTCAGTCGACAGGTCGTTAAGATAGCAGGAGCGGGAGCGAGGCCGAAGAGCGCGGGAAGATGGTGAGTATAGTCTTGTTCTCTTTCGGGACTTTTATCAAACAGTTCGCGGCTCTTTCGAATCCAACGGCGTTCGGTCCGATCAGAACCAGCGTGAATCGGCTCGCCGTCGCCTGTCATTCTCCGAGATTCCTCCATTTCGAAACCCTGACTTCCCGCCAACAAGACCAGGTTCATCTTTTCGTCGACGCTCTTCTCCAATGGAACAAGGTATTGGTCTCGCTCTTACGATTGTTTGATTTTCCTGTTGAGGAAAATTAGGAATTATTTCCGGTATTTCATGTGTGTTAACTTCAATTTGGTGGTCGTATTGTTGGAATCGTAGAAAATGAATCTTACGGCCGTTACGGATGTGAGCGAAGTAATGGAAAGACATGTCGAGGATTCTCTCGCGATTATTCCACCAATTCGGAATTTGTACTTGTCGCATTGTACGAAAGTCCCGTGCGATAACATTAAACTCGTTGATGTTGGAACGGGTGCCGGGCTTCCTGGACTGATTATAGCTATTGCTTGCCCAGGTGAACATAGTCGATTACTATGATGATGAAAGTACATTATGTACGCAAGCGAATTGTTATAATTTTCCAAATGTTGCTGCTAATCTTGCTCCCTTATCCTTTCTTGTCTTTTGGGGTTTAACTGAGGCAATATTTGGATGGATCAGAATGGCAAGTAACGTTGATGGAGTCTATGAATAAGCGGTGTATTTTCTTGGAGCATGCAGTGGGTCATACTGGCTTGTCAAATGTTCAAATCGTGAGAGGAAGAGCAGAGGTAGGGTAACATGTTAGTGTTTACGTGATAAAACACCCTGGCCTGTTTATCAATTGAAGTTTGATTCTCTAGATTAGTTCAGATACTTGGTAATAAGTATTGATTTTATTAAATAATGATTTTTTATTTTTATTTTTTTATTTTGTGACGTACCACCAGTACTTCTCTTCGTAAAAAAAGTGGAGGAGACTTTTCTGCTTGAGTTATGGTAAAGAGATTCACAAATTCAACTGTTTCTCAAGGGTAGAGCAGGCAGCAGTCCCGATTTCTTCATTATATTCATTGTATTGGGAATACTTGAAGAAGTTAAAGTTATAAATGACCTCCAGATCCATTTTTATTTCATATTAAGTATTTGATTTTTTTTCTTTGTTTAAGAAAAAAAGAAAAAAGAAAAAGATAACAGAAGAACATATGTGCACATGGCTCCTTGAACTTTGTTTTGATCAATATTTAATGTGATAACGATAGACCTTATGTAGGACAGAATTTGGGACATGATCTTTGCTTACGAGAGAAATTTGATGTAGTAGTGGCTAGAGCTGTTGCAGAAATGAGAATTTTAGGTACCATCTAAAATTGATATATATAACTTCTACGAATCTTCAAGACATTTCTTGTTTTACCATTGCTTATCATTTTTCTTTGGTATCTTTGATTTCAGCGGAATATTGTCTTCCTATGGTTCGTGTTGGTGGTTTGTTTTTAGCTGCCAAAGGTCATGATCCTCTTGTACGTTCTCTGTCCATTAACATTTTGAACGTCTACGCTCTGGTTGTCCTATTACTGAGACTGCATGCAGTTCGTTATCATCACTGATGCTGTTGTTATAATTTTTTATTTTATTTTTGAGGTGGAGGCATTTGATGTTAAAAGCCCCTTCCTCTTCAATTATTTGCAGTTTCTTGTCTCACTTTCTATGTTTGAAAGTAGTTCTTTTTGTCAATTTATTATGCAAAATAGGATATTTATTTTTAGATGGCCAATCTGATTTATACATATTGATGCCACACAATATTGTAAGAAATAATATGTATAAAGTGGGTCTTGTGGTCGTGGATGGGTGGTAACTGTGTTTTTTTTACTACCATTTTTTAATAGTCTCCTTCTGAATTAGGTCTGACCTCCTGTATACTTTGTTATAGTTCTGGAGATTTCTCAATTTGAATCATCTAGAGTTGGTATATATCTACTTCATTATTTCATTATGAGAAAGTTTATTTGCTTAATAATTTGGATTCCTTTGGATTTTAACTTTTAATATCTTGTTGATTTTCAGTTTGTTTACTTTTTCGTTATATGGTTTAACCATTCTAGAACTTTTTCATATTGCCAGGCAGAAGTCACAAATGCAGAAAAGGCAATTGAAATGATGGGTGCCTCCTTGCTGCAAATATGCGCTGGTGTGTTTGTCTTGTATTTCTATTGGTCTTCTTTCAATGTCATAACTTCATGTATACCATAACAAAATCAACAGATTCGTATGTCCTAGAGGATTTTTCTAGAGTAAACTATAGTACAAACTACAGAGGTCTCTTCCTGAAAAGACACTCCAATGTTTAGCCAGTCGCAAGTTGGTTTTCTAAATATTCTTACTTAGTTATTTGATTCGTACTTAATTGCAAGAAATTTTCTGACGCTGGCAATTTCTGGACATGATGTATACTAATACTCCAACCATTGAATATTTGGTATTTGTACTTATTCCAGTGAATTTTGTTCCTTTTATTTTATTTCTTGGTTTACGTTTTGTTAGCAAGAACTGGAATCTTTTTCTAGTGTTTGGTTTGACTATCCTTAGTACTGATCGGTAGTCTAATTTGCATGCGAAACCAAATAAAATGTTGAATTCTTTGTGGGAAAATCCTTTTTTCAAGCAATATTTGATATAGAATTATTTTCTCAACTATCATACTGGAGTTTTATTTATAGCCTGATCCATGAAGCAATACCACCCTATGCATTAACTTTACGTTGCCCCTATGATAAAAAAAAAGAAAAACTTTATGTCACCCCTCTGAGCCCTCTCTCTGTGTTGTAAATAATATCTAATGTTTCCCCTTTTATTTATGCAGTGGAATCACATAGTCCATATGGACAGCGAACTGCCGTTGTTTGTTTAAAAGAACGGCACACCCCAAGGAAGTATCCTCGCGATCCAGGTACACCAGCAAAAGCCCCATTATAGATTATCAGAGTGTTCGGTTTGGCTTCGATTCAGTTGTCCTTCTTGACGTAAACCAGTTGTTTATTATGCGAAATGCTTCAAGAATGTGACTCTCACCTGAATTTAGGCACCTTGTCATTTGTTTTGCATTATGAAATATCATTTCAATTTTCACCCACAATAGTTCTTACACGACATTTGGTTATTAAATTAGTATTAAGCATTTATTTGTCCAACGCCCACTTTATGATTTACACGTTGGTCTTTCTCCCTCCCGCCATGTACCTCCATCAAGTTCATCGCTTTCTCTGCATCAACATATATAACTCCACCCTCGAACTTAAACGGTGGAATTACTGTACCATTCTCATCTAACTAAAAAATTGTCCTAAATCTAACCCATAAAATACCTAAAATCTGGCCACAAAAACGACCCCAACCAAAAAATCAACCAGGCAAAGAAATGTTTTGCCCAACTACAAAAATATCAAAATCCAATAAAGACATATATATATCATCCTGGGTGGCCTCAACGTAGACCAGTTGTTTATGGTGCAAAATTTTGACTTCTCAACTTCACAGCGTGTTACTTGTGTATAACGAATATCATTTCTCCCCGAATAATCTTTTGGACAGATTTGACTACTAAATTAGTATTAAGCATATATTCCTCAACACCCACTTTAGGATACACACGTTCATCTCGCCCTCCCGCCATATTACTCTATCAAGTTCAAGAATTTCTCTCTAGTCACTTGGATCTTCTCATAAATAGAAGGTTTAAATTCCACAATAGAAGGTTTACATTACTTAGCCTTAGCGTGTCTGCCCGAAGTCCGCAAACTTATTTGTGCATCCAGTTGGAGTACTAAAAATATGCATGACAATGGTTTAGCTAGGGTGTTCATGGTTGAATCAGATTTGATTTAGTAAGATCTTGAATCTAAGTACATAGGCGCGATGGTTGAAGAAAATTGCAGTGAAGCGGCGGAAAAGGCCAGAGTGAAGGGAAAATGCAGGTCGACTCAAATTTTCTTATGTGATGTGCGTGATTTTTTATTTTTTTTAAATTGGTGAAAATCCTCTCTTTTGTTATTTTACTCGTCTATTGACTTACCAATTTAATTTTATATGCAGTGAGTAATATGATTGATAATTCAGGTATTTCAAAAGTTATCTATGGCGTTGTTTTCTTTCCTCTAAAAAAACGACTACTTTTGTGGCTCAAATTAAAAGTGGCTTTTTTTTGCAAATTATTACTTGCTACTTGGCTACATATTTATTTAGCTCTAAGTTGTAAAACTATAGATGCCTTCAAGGGCATTTGTTCATATCATGGGCTTTACTGGTCAATTTTGTACAACATTACTTTTTCGTATGAACTCTTATTTTTCTAATAGTACGAAATGAATTTTCTTAAAAATATTTTTTGACAAGAAGACAAAAGGGACCGTCTTTATTTCATTTAGAGTATATCTAAAATATATTACAAGAAAAAAGTATGGTATGTAAATCATTTTGCCATCTGCTTGCCATAATTCTGGTCGAGGCATGGAGAGTTGCTTTTTAGGAATTATTTTATTTATAGGTAAAGACCTCTGATCATCCAATAAGATGGACGTTTCTTAATTATCTTCCTCATAGCTTTTCATGGATGCGATGCTCTAAATCGATTCGCCATCTAATCACTTCCCTTGTGTCATGTTATCTATTCTTGCACTGCGCCAAGGACAGAGGAATAAAACTTGCTGAACCCAACCTGGAAAGATTCGCTTGGTGGCAAAAGTTGATCAACCGTGTCGCCAGGTCTAAAGGGCTTAAACCGTACTAATTGCCAGATTAACCTGAATATAAGTAGATAATGAAATTGATTAATAAATAGAAACTTGGATGCAATTACTAACTCAATGACAAGTATTATTAGCTAAACATATTTGTCTAGTATTGATTTCCACTATCTTTAGTCAAAACTAATTAATGAAGTTATTGCTGGAGAAAACCTCTTTTATTTCACACTGCATGCAAATTTCTTCTAGTTTTAGGTTACAGATTTTGTATGGATTTCTTTTCCTCGAGGCTTTTGTGTCCATCACTCTTTGGTGAATTCATTTTAGTTTTTATATTTCAAATGAAATGCATTTTTCCCCTATGGGTAAACGTTGCTGTTCACCTTAGTACTTATAAATGGGTTAAGATAGATAATAGGTATATACATTTTATTATTTAGTCAAATAGTAAATTCTTTATGGGTTTGATATAATTTTAATTCACTTGTAACAAGTGACGATGTAGATGTATGATACCAAATGTAATAGACATGTATTAGGTAGGATGCTTATGAATTAATTGGCCTCAGGAGTTCCTTTCTTCAGAAACCAAATAAATGATGGAAAGCCAAATGGAATTAGGTTGGTATGTGAAAAATGACCATTTCCTAACCTCCCTCGACTAAGTCTTTCAAGCTTTATTTTTATAACATATTATTTCAGGGAAAGATATTTTCAGTAGATCTTTACGATATTGGCCTGCCACGTTTGAATGGTACAATAATAAAACCCTTGTTAATCTTTTTTATTTTTCTACAAAAGAAGCATTTGATGTCAGATCCCCTTTTTTAATTATTAGTATGTCCAACCTCGTATGAAATCCCGGAGTATTTTGTTGTTGTTTGAGTTCAACAATATGTGGGGTGGGATGAGGATTTAAACAACTAACTATTTGGTCGATAATATATGTTTTAACCGGTTTAACTATGCTCAAATTGACTTATTTTCCTACTCTTTTTTTATTGCTAAATTTTAAAGTCAGAGTTTGATGTTAACATCTTGTTTGATTGTTTTGGTAAATTCTTTACCTTTTTTTATATTTGGATAAGAGGGTAGATGCTGAAATGTTGAGAGTTCTAGAATAAGATTATTATATGTATGAATGTCAGCATTAGTAATTTAATCATGGTCCATGGCCTATGTTATTTCTTTTTACCAATAGAGCCCCACAATCCAACTAATTCTTGTTTGTAAAGGACTTATCTGCATAATTTTAATCAATCCCACTGCCACAAGAAAGGTATGATTGAGGGGAAAGTGTTAAAAAGATGTTGCAAAAGAAGGGTCATTTCGCTTTCCTTTCATATTTGGCTTTCTTTTTCTTTTCAATTCGAAAGAAAAAAAAATACATAGATGCTGTCTTTTGAGCAATATAATAAATAAACAAATTGGTGGGTTCTGTCCTGTAATGTGGTTAAAGATCAGTAGAACATTGCAACTTGATAGAATTCATTCCCATGGTAATAGGTTTCATTGAAAATAATATTAGTTATTGTTATTATTTTATTGATTTATATATCTTTTAATTGCCTTTTAGCACTTTAATTTACATGTTATGAAGAAACATACTGCCATGAACTTAAATTAGACCCACTGATTGATTTTGATTTGACATTGAGTTTCAACTTTTTAACATTAAATTTAGTCCATGAATTTTAAGGTTTGTTTTGTTGCGATTTTTTAATTGTTAAAATGATTTTTTTTAGAGATAGATGCCTTAACCATTTAAGCTATGCTCGGTTTGACAAAATAATTTGTTTTTGTTTTAGTTCTTATCATTATTTTTCCATTAAGTATTTGATAAATAATACCCATGACAGTCAATATAAGCTTAGTTCAATGATAATTAATTAATGTTTTTGATTAAGAAGTCATAAGTTTGAATCTCCCCCTCTCATTTATTATACTAAAAAATAATAATATAACCCGACATGTCTTTTTATTCATTTATTTACAAATTGGTATATAGCTATCTAGACATATATTTCAATGGTTCATGCATCAAGTTTTAAAATAGATAACATTTTTGTTAATCTCAACTATTAACGTAAAATTTAATGGCAATGATTGTACTAGTTTTATATGCAAGTGTAAGGATTGAATTAAAAGATTTATGCTACGAATTTTATTTAAAAAATATATATTTTTCGGCTTAGACTGATATTATTTGCGGGACATAAACGAGGATATTTTAGATTCATTAAATTTTGTTTTTTTTTCTTTTTAATTTCTTACTCGATTTTGGGAAAAAGGAATTAGCATTTTAGTTTCCTTGCCTCCCCATATCTATGACAAAATAAAAGTAAAACTAGTTTGATGATTAACATAATTTTTTTTCATATTGTACCCCAAAAGTTCCTATCTTAAAGAATAGTATATGTTACCTTGAACATTACAATTAAGTTTTGATTGTCTATTTTCAAAGGGAAAAAAAAAAAAAAGCTATTTAACTTTATTCCATGTTAATGTCCTATTAAAATCAGGCAATATTCATACCTACACAAAAAGTTGTAAGCCATAATGGGTTATCATGATCTAATTTGACATGGATTACGTCTTATTTTCTAAAGATAAAGATGTACAAAGCTACAATTTTTATAATCCTTTCTTTTAGATAATTTAACACAGATTATGCATTCAAACTATCCAATTCTAAATTTCAAAAATGAAGATTTGTAACCAACATCTCTTAACATAGCTCTAATGTCTATATAAGTTAGGTGCGTCGAGTGAGATGACCTGACCTAGACAAATGTCGAGCAATTAGCTAGTATTGTCAAAATGTCTAACCAGACCTTGTTTAGTTGCAACCAATACTCTGTTAGATTCTATGGTTATTCCATCAAAGCCATAAGATAATCTCATTAACTTCAAATTCCAACTCAATGAGCCACAAGGAAATAATTATAATATCACAATTCACCATTTATTTAACTTTATTTCATTCCATTGTCTTATCAAAATCAACCGAAAATAGGAGAGGGGGAAAAAGCAACCAGAAAACATCACAAAAAATAATAATAGCTTTGTATGAGGGTATTCTTTTGATTTCAGTTCAACTTTTTTCTTTAGAGTATTATTATTATAAATGAGAAGAAAGAGACAATCTACCACCCCATAAAAAGAGACATCGGTATTTGATCCTTTGAAATATGTTAGGTTATTTGAATTATGTTAGGTTGACAATTCAAAATATATCAATGGTCAAGATGATTCTACGCCAAGTGATAAAAATTGCACCTAGAAGATCTAAACAACAATATTATGTGTGATTTATTCATCTAATTAAAATAATCTTGATTAAATTATAATTTTTTGTTCTTAAACTTGATATGTCTGTTTAGTCTAATATTTTCAAAATTTTATAATAAGTTCCTAAACTTAAGAGGCAATATCTATTTACTCCTAAATTTAAAAAAATATATCTAATAGATCTCTAAACTTTTAATTTTATGTTTGATGGACAATGTTAATTCTAACCTGTCTCATGTTTCCGTGACATGCTCAATGTATTATCTAAAGATTGCACAATGAGTAGTAGTGTAATCGTTGAATTAATATAGTTAACACATAAACCTATTACAAATTTATTAAGTAGAGCCAAGCTAGGTAAATGATGATATATACTTGTTTTCTTAAAATCATAGGTTCAAATCGTTATACCCCACATTTATTATACTACAGAAATCATAATTTATTTTTATTACATACATCTCACTAAACATATTCTTTCAAACTATTCAAATCAATATGAACTCTTTTCGAATAATATTCATAAACTAATTTTCTTCATATTTGCAAACCTCTTCCGGTTTGCCATATAATCTCTCTTGCAAACCAAGCAACACTCCTTAAAAGAGAAACGAAAGATACAAATGCACTAAACTAAACTCTATGTACACAAATCCCTTGGAACCAAACTAAAGAAAATCTCTAGAATAATACTTAATACTTAGATACTTATCAATCAGATCCACTGACCACGACTAAAAATTGGACGGCCTTTTAATTTTTTTGAAAAACAGAAAAAAAATACATTTGTTTTTTGCATTAAAAATTTTACTAATGATCGACAAAATAGGTATACTAACCATGAGCACCTAAGTATTATTTGAGTTTAGTTTTTTTAAAGAAGAGGAACAGAAATTTGCCACGCCTTGATATCACAGTCCAAACCACCACTATAAACCATAAACGACATGTCGTTTTGGTTGCAGCGATCAACGGCCGCCGCCAAACACTTGACCGGACCGTTATGGCCTTCCAAAACCATCAAACAAAGATAATTTCCGGCGACCCCTCTCCAAATTCTGATCGTCTTGTCCGCCGAGCCGCTGCAGACCAAATCCGACACGACGGCCAAGCACAACACGGCCTTCTTATGGCCTCTCAAGGCTCCCACCA